CGCAAGCATTTTGCAGCGAGTTTGTTATATTCTGGCCAGTCACATGAAGCAACTGCGTGCAGAAATTCGCCATTCCGTCGAGGCCCAAAGACAGAACCATTAAAGCTGGTACAAAAGAAGCTGGAAGGTTTCGAGTATCACGCTACAAATCAACTGGGCATACCAAAAGATGTGCTGAAAAACAAGGCGAAGTCAATCGAACAGAGACATCAAAAAGAGAAAATTCCGCCCACGACGCCGTCAGGACTTCACTACTGCACGCGATAGAGGTGGCAGAGGCCGCTGCAACTGATGATGCAGCCTGCCGTACTGACGAGCTATTTCGTTCAAGTTGCAACCAACACATTGCTCAGGATCTAACGTGTCAATCTGAGCATGAGATAGTGCAGCTATCGGATTCCAATACATCGACTGGTGCTGATAAAGAACTTGCAATTATTTCGTCGCTTGAAGAAGAAAGGAAGTCACCCGTTTCGACAGGAAAAAAGGAAAACGTTATAGTCAGTCAGGAGTCGGCCTTTATATGAGTGGTTCTCAGAGATCTAGGGTTCCCGCCCTGCTACTAAATTTTATTAGAGTCTATTTTACTATGAGTTAAGTCAATCTTGCTTGTGAGCTTCCTCACCGCTACGTCTACGCTAGTGATGGTAAAGACATAACCCGATACAAGCATCGTTTATGTCCACAGCGGCCACAGACTCAGGGGATGTTTCATTTATGACATTGTCAAAGTACTTCATCAGATCTTCTGAAAAAGCGTTGGGGGTGCTGGCTGAGGCCCGCTGCCGTAGCTGGCTCTGGCGTCGCTGGCACCAACAATATTCGCGACATCACTTTGTCGTAAATTGGGTTTTATCTTGGCAAAGTGTCGCTCTCCATTGGCAGTGTCAACACCCTCTGGATCTGCATTGCACACGTTGTCGTTTTAGGAATCCGTCAAAACCTTTGAAGTTGGGATGCAAGAAAAGCTATATCTCTAACGCAAACGAGCACTTGTTCATCTCCTGGCGGTCTGTGTACCGAGAGAAAAAAACCGCTTGTGGGAGTGGTGTGGGGTAGTGTGCGAGTGGGCGAAGTCAGAGAGTAAAATACTCGGGCCTGAAGGGCATGCGGATTTTCTCCGTAGATCGATAATCTCGCTATTCCTTTAAACAGACTAAAACCGAGATACGCAGCTTGTACAAGCCAATAAAACTTCGACTTTATTGGCGTTTTCACCTTGACTCTTGATATTCACCTGCGTTATGGGCTGCAGGAGAGACAAAATCTGAGTGAGATTTGAATAATCTCTTTCAAACGGGAATCCAGCAGGTAACTTGGCATTTGCTTGGTGGCTCGAACTCGCGGGGCAGTCGACGCTGATGCATTACGGTAAGTTCTATCGTGCGTTTCACTAATTTTGCTGTGATAATTCTGTCGTAATTTTATTCCCTTTTTGGTCGTAATTCTTTTCACGACTTATCTAATAACATCCTAATTATGGGTTATTCCTTTGCGGTAGAATTGGTAAATTCCGTCTACCCGAGGTAGCTTCTTTATTGCAGTCTTATATACCTAAGACCTGCTATCAATTACTTACAGAATTTGTGTCTCTGTGGCGTACCTTGTGCTCGCTTATTTTACATCAACTACCGGCTACAACTCTATAGCCCAGCGCACGAATTCATACTTAAACGAATCGAAATTTTCCGACGCCCGCAACCTCCCGATCAGAAGTTCATTGTTTAACCACCGCACCACTTGGTGATAGTGACACTGGTTTAGGATGGAATAATCTATTAATAATCCCGTCCGACTGAAGAAAATTGGGGGTTGAAACCCGCCAATCTGCTGGAATCCCATAATAAATGCTGATTGAGTGCGTTAGGGCCAATCTTAGGCGAATTAGCATTAACCCTTTCGTGAACACATATCTTGATGCCTATCCAGAATCTTTGTAAAACGCAGCATTTTGCCGCGTTTTGACGTGGTGATGGGCACCCCTGCGACACCCGAACCTTAACAACGTGACAGCCGCTGTTTCATTTTACAGTAGGTTGCCCCTAGAACGCGGCATTTTGCCACGTTTTGCACAGAAATATCCCCGTCGGTGATTGGGCAAAAGAGCGCGCTTGTCAGATTAGTTTAGACTGGCCAATCAGAACCATCATATAATATGAATTTCCTAACGTCAATTTTCCCATCCCATATGGATGAATATCATCAATTCTCCGACCCTACTTAATTTTAGTATTGGCATTAATCACCAATCATCCACTTTTATTTACTAGACAGCCAATCGTACGGTCTTAACAAAATGATTTGGCCAATCCAAAGGCTAAGGGTTAGGTTGAACCTCGTTGGAGCTGGCTCCGACATATTAGGTCGAAGAGGACTCGGGAAATATGGATATGCTCTTACAAATTTCAATATGTAGGCATATCAAATGCATAAAGTCATTTCTCCGACTTCTCCGACCAGTGCAATCATTACCACATATTAGTTTTAAATCTTACTTATTATTTATATGCTACTATGTAGTAGTAAATTTTAGAAGAGGTGGGTAGCAGCGCCACAGGGAGCTTGCTCGTCATTAGGAGCAAGACATGCAAAATCCCTGCGTGGAGATCCATTATTTTTTTATTGCGTAGAGCATTATGTAGCAAGCGTCAATTTAAATGTACATGTATTGCCTTATTAATTCTTGAGCCTATCGACTCGCTGCCTCCTGTGCACCGCCCTGCCGCACTGCCACCGCTCTGATGCCGCCCTGCCACCGCCACCGCCCTGCCGCTCTGCCTCCGCCCTGCCACCGCTCTGCCGTACTGCCACCGCCACCGCCACCGCACTGCCATCGCTCTGCCGCACTGCCACCGCCACCGCCCTACCGCTCTGCCGCCGCCCTGCCACCGCTGCACTCCCCCCCCTCCTTTTTATTTGTGAATACATTTTCAATGTGGCCCACAGTTACAAAAGAAAACTTAATATATTTGTTTTAAGAGTTACTGACTTAGATGTGTCGCCATTTATGTACAGATCGGAGGTTGTCGGAGGTCGGAGATTTTATGTTATGGTATCTGAGGATAGACATGTGAATCGCCGAAGTTGGAAGTCCCAACCGAGTCCAAACTTTGGACTCCAAAGGCGCTATTGGATAATGGCACCAACTCCGGTTATCACTTACTAGTATTGATCACCGTAGTGCTGGCGTCGTCATGCTATAATATTGGTAATATAAGTCGTTCATTGATTGCTACAGTGGACGTGCGTCTGCTAGCGTAGGTATGCCGAATCGCTGCAGTCAAAATGTGTATCACATCTTATTGCCTACCTTTTGTAATAGGATAGCCGAGTATATATTTTGTTCTAAGTATTGACTGGTCCAACCAAGCATATATCTTGTTTTACGTATTGACTGGTCCAGCCGAGCATATATCTTGTTCTAAGTATTGACTGGTCCAACCGAACATATATCTTATTTTTTGTAGTGCTAGAAGTTCGAGCTTGCGAAACTGAAGAAACAATTACTGGGAAATATAATACATATTTAATCTTAGGTTTGATAGCGAGTCTATTACTTTTGTTCTTTCATAATTGATACGATGTGAGACATTCGTTAGAGCCGTTCATTTTCTAATTTATTCCGTGCCTCCCATGCCGGGAAAACGCGCGCTGGCAAACTCACAGCACGCCAGACGAAAGCGACGCCGGACACGAGGCGAAGTTGGCGCTCATAGTAGCCATGCTATTCCTTTGGCGTCGACATTAGACTTCCATGGTGTGTGGAGAGAGCTGAAGGCGGCTGGATGGATGTCCAAGCCGCTACAAGGCCTTAACAACAGATACCGGTATGTGCTTCCAGGTTGCACTGCAAACGGAAGAGAGGGCAAGGATTTCTTGCTTGGGGAGGAAGGCGTGTTAAACCACTTCGTGCAACATTGTCGGTACCACAACTGCTCTGTAATGACGTCGATTATGGCTCCTAAGCAATATAGTGACCAACGTTATATGTACAGGTAGCCCCCAAGTTGTGCATGAGAGCGAGGGACAGCTGCCCCATCCAGAAGCAGATACAAGACCATCCACCACAGCTGACCATCAGGTAGGCGATCCTCCTGGTCGGCGACTTGGCAGCGGTATCGCGAGTGGAGAGCATCTCGCTGGTCGTGGTGATGGTGGTCGCGCAGCTCGCGTAGCTGGTCGTGGTGCTGCTGGAGGTGATGTCGTGGATGGTCCCGGTCGTGAGCATAGTGGTGGTTCCGTGCAGGGCCAGGATCTTGCTGGTCGTGGTGATGTTGGTCCCGCCGCTCGCGTAGCTGGTGCTGGTGGAGGTGATGTCGTGGATGGTCCCGGTCGTGAGCGTAGTGGTGGTTCCGTGCAGGGCCAGCATCTCGCTGGTCGTGGTGATGTTGGTCCCGCCGCTCGCGTAGCTGGCGCTGGTGAAGGTGATGTCGTGGATGGCCCCGGTCGTGAGCGTAGTGGTTGTACGTCAGGCGCAGATTGGTGGCCTGATCATATTCCCAGTCGTGCTGTTAATATCACTCGACGATGTCATGGAAGTGGCATTGGCGAAGATTCGGTTCGCCATCAGCGCCAAAATGCTCGGTCGGTTTGTGTGACACTGACACCAAGACAGAGCGCGCTTTGTGCAGATCGAAACGACGGGACCCCATTAGCATCGACTGAAGCCGCATCAAGTACTGCATTTCACAATCGCACTCCAACCACACCAAGTATTGAGCATCTCTTGCTGAAGAAGATGGTGGCATTTTCGTCGTCAAAAGAACCGTGGATGCAGAACCACAAAAGCAAAATTTACAGGTGTGTAGGCACCGCCTATATTGTGGGTCGAGTATGTCGACGTATCAAGAAACCAAAGCACGGGGCTATTTTGCAAGTGATGTGGCTTGATACCCAGTTTCAAAAGGCTGTGGAAGCGCTCACAATAGCGACTGTACAGCGGGGTATCAATAATTATCAGGCTCTGATGCGCTTGCCTACCAAGCCGGCATGGAGTGATTTGACGGATACGGTAGTGGAGGGGGAGCTCAACCTAGACTTACCACTTGACGAGCTCGAAATTGCGTCTGATGAAGAAGATTACGAGCAATGGAATTCGGATCGGATTTTGCCGGCGAGTCTATCGGAGGTTGAGGCAGTGAAAAGCATGCGCTTTGAGCCCGAAGTGGAAATGAAAGTTCCCAGCGACTTGTACACTCACCCAGATGACAGTACTACGACACAATTACTACTTGAAAACAGACATATATTTGCTCACTCGGCCTCTTCGAGTTTTTTCGCATACATCCCACTTTACTTCTGGAAGCAAGTTGTCCTAGAGACCAATCAGTATGCAGCTGCGAAGGGGGTTAGAATCACCAAACCGTTCACCATTGAAGAACTTATGACCTTTCTCGGCATCATGTTTTACATGACCCTTACCGACAAAGGAGAATATTCTAACTATTGGGGGCAACAGACTGAAGATGCGATTTTTGGTGGGGCATCTACCAGTTTGGACACTGTGATGAGTCTGCGTAGATTCAAGTTAATTCGAAGTTTTTTGAGTTTTTGAGCTGAGCCTGGTGTCGCGATCGAACGAGATCCTGCAGCACGAATTCGACCCTTGTTGAATCTACTCAAAAGTACCGGTGGAAAATATGTTGAAGTAGAACGTAATCTTGCTCTGGACGAAGCCAGCATTGCTTGTCGGTCTCGCTACGGGCGGCACCTCATTGTCTACAACCCACAAAAACCGGGTGGAAAATATCATTTCCGAATGTACGTGGTGTGCTCCTCGACCACATGGATTGCTCTGAATTATCGTCTCCACTGCAGCAGTAGCCATATTGCTGATCGCCTGCAGCATGTAGTAACCCCAGCCGAGATGCAGCATCTACGCGAGGAGTTAGACGGTGTCCAACAAGTTCGCAAGCATGTAATCGAAGTAGTACGGCCCTACTTTCATTCCCGTCGGATTATTAACATGGACAACTACTATACAAGTGTCCAATTGTTGATGGATCTACGTCTGAAAGGATTGTATGGACGAGGAACAGTGCGCGGGGGGAGCAAGCATTTTCCGAAGCACACTATCCTACAAAAAGAAGAGTCCACACGCGGTGATTATCAAGGGTCTGTTGATGTTAATCATAACGTGCTCGCAGCGTCCTCGTGTGACGGTAGCATTGTGACGATGGTCACGAATGCTGATCCGTCCACCACAACAACGACGGTAACTCGCCGAATCGGAGCAACAAGTCTCCCGTTCCCGGCTCCAACCTGTATTTTAGAGTACAACCAGCATATGCAAGGTGTTGATCGGTTAGACCAGATACGTGCAAGATTTTCGCTCGCTGACGGCCATTCCTTTAAACAGTGGCATAAAAAATTAGCGCTGGCACTCGTCGATATCGCACGTGCCAACGCTTATTTGACTCGTCGAATGGCAATTGATACTTCAAAGGATCGAGACCCCACAGAACGTTCATTACGGACTTAGTGTCTGAGTTGATTTCGGGAAAATGGAAAGAAGCGCCGAGTGACGGCAAGATGGCTTATGGTAGCAGCATTGCCAGAGAAACGGGAGCAACAGGGTGTGTTACTCCACCAAGTAGTGGCTGCACTGTGGCAAGTGTTTCCAGTCCCAAACACAGTGCGATGTGATGTCTTCTAAGCAACTGTTTAAGGACAAGAGCAGAAGAAAACGAGAATGCGTAGTTTGTCGCTATGAGGGCAGGTACCCGACGAAGGTAACCGATCGCTGTCTTACGCACTCAGTGAGCATTTGCAGGGTTGCCCATGGTGACGCCAACACTTCATTTACCTGCCCGCAGAGCACTTGGACATGCTGGGATAAGTACCACCGCTTCTATCTCCCCAAAGGACTCTTCAGCAAGAGTGGGAACATATGCAGGTCTTCAGTGCTGGCCACGCTCAAGGCACAGCATCAATCCGAATGGGGCACTGCAACACAACATCCTGCTGATGATACAGCGTGCCAGCAATATACGCAAAACCAGCAAAGTGAGTCGAGCCACCAATGTACACCATGCGAACAAATTGAATCGAGCCTTCACGCAAAGTGAGCCAACAATGTCCAGCAAAGCCCACCTAGCCAGTCAAGTGCTTTGAATCTATACCACCAAAGTCCAGCGAGCCCAGCGATCCAACACAGTAAGGTCGTGAGGCAAATTTTTCTATAATAGTGAAGTATGAGTAAAAAAACACGATTTTCAAATTCAGGGTATATATCTTGATTAAAGTATACTAATCATAGCGGTGCTCATTCGGGGTAACAAAGACGCCCCCCCAGGCAGCGACAACCACAGCAACAGCAGCACGGCGCTCACTTTTTTGTGTGCCTTGCAAAGATAGCAAGTTATTAGAAATACCACAAAATCACCCGCTGCCGTCGGCGCTCAACATGAAGAACGAGTTGCTGTACGGCGACATACTGGACGCCACTGCCGTGGTTCCACTTCCGCATGCATTGGGATCCCTTATTCTATACAGTTGTCGCCGGTGGAATCCTAGACGGGCGATGGCTCACAATTCTGCTGCCGCACTTGGTACATGTAGATAGGGATACACTCGGACTTCCAGCTTGCGTGACCGTACGTAGTATGCGTTGGCACCCACTTGGCGCAAAACCTTCTTCGGCAGGATTCGCGATGACGCGGGCAATAGCGAGCGGTAGATATAATCAAACGCGCTCTTTGCATCAAGCTCAGCTCCTCTTCGACAACGAGCCTAGCTGATTCATCAAACAAAAAATCATTCAGAAAAATCACTGACGCGTCCAGGAAAGGTGGTGTAGTCGATAAAGGCGTATCGAGGACATTCCCCTGTAGCAAGAAAACTTTATGCAGTAGTAGAATTCGGAATGCATATGCTCGCAAGCAGGATACACCTCTGCTGACCAACTCCGGTCGTTTTTTTATGCCCAAACACTGACGTGCCTTCGTCTGTACCGCGAACTGAGCCGCCACATTCCCCAACCCAGCTCCAACATCTAAGAAGACGTCATCATGCCGAATGTTCCCAATCATCTCAATTATTTTTGAAACCGCAGCAGGAAGCACCTCACCTGCGTTCTCATCTGTCCTTCCAGCTTGTTGTCGAACCTCGAACGCCGATACAGTACTGAAAACATCACAGATAGTTCGTTCCGCTTGACTCGGTGCTTAAATATGCAAACGTTTCTCATAAGGAGACGTCGTTCTCACTGTCGAGAAAAAAAAGCGTGGGAACCGCGAAATATCCATTCCGTAGGTTCGCTTGAGTGCACGCAGCCGACTCTGAAGGGCTTGGGCCGAATACTTGCCCCGCATGGCGCGTGCCACCTCCTTCCATTGAACTCGCTTGCGCTGGGACTCATATTCAAGCGCAAGCACAACAAGCTTTTTGTCTTCTGCATCGGTGAATTTAGTCCACATAGCAAAATAGGAAGAGAAGTGGAGCCTAGCATGTCACTTGAGTTCATTATGCTAGATATCACCTTGAGTTCATTATTGTGAATATGGATGGCTCTCAAATGCCCTGCCGTCTAGACAGTATGTGAAACGCAATATGCATGTCATTTGCACTTCCTTCCCAGCGCAATATTTACACTAAAGTGGACGTAAAAGGTGCACTGTATTGCAATATTCTCTTTTGAAATTCACAAGTCGAGCAAAAACAGCATCTACCCACAGTTATCTGTAGCGCTCATTGGCAAAAACAAAACACGGTTGGAGTTTTGTAGAACGCGGCAAAATGCCGCGTTTGACCACGAAAGGGTTAAATAAAAGTATGTTCGTCCTTTTATGGATCTAATTACGCCTGAATTAACCCCTTGAGACCCGAGCTGTTTCGGCGCAAACTTAACCGAATCCCTAGTCTCTCAAACGTGTATGTGGGGGGAAGGGCTTTCATATAAATTATTTCATGTTTTGCTAACATGTATAGTTCATAGCCGCACTAAAACCCTAAACCTGGAAGACTGTCTCTCCTGTTATCTTGTACCTTCATCTTGTCGAAGGCCCGAAAACGAGCGATATACACTTTAGTCATATTAGCGTGTATAGTAGACTACAAAACCGGTACCTGCATGTGTGACAGGAACTGGTAAGGCGGACATAGGTTGAACAAGCTTGGTACATAACTAAACCAATGGAACATATGCAGTCAAGTTCAATATCGTAATATTGAGGGCATACAAAACCTAAGTAAAAATTTACGATCGACGCCTTTGATCAGTCAGTCATCTCAGCATCCGGAGCGCGGCGAGCCCGCTTTAACTGATGCAAGCCGCTCGTCGTGGTTTCATCTCCGGACGACTGGACACTCTCAGCCTCATCCTTCTCCTCGTTCGAGCATTCGCGACGTCCCGGTGTACGTGCGCGGATCGTGCGCTTCACTGCCTTCTTGGGGAGCAGCGTTTCGTTTCTCCAGGCCTTGTGCCAGATGTCGAAGCAAGACATTGCAGCTCCGTTGTACGTGTGACGAACCTTCTCACAGAGGAAAAACCGCCAAGCCATGGGTCTCTTCGACGTGTTGGGCAACTTACACTCGCTACAGTATACCGACGAATCTCCACCTCTCGCGTTGTCGGTGCCCTTCAAGAGCGAGCAGACCTTGCACGCTCTCGTACGGCGCTTCCGCCCTTGCTGGTTGTTGCCACTGCGCCACTCGTCATTTTGCACAGGTTGGTGTGCGGCTTGGCGAGAATTTGTGCGCTGCATCGGTTTGGTTGGTGTCACTTGTAAGCACGCGTTGTCGTGCAAAGTCGCCCAGTCCTCCTCGCGTAGCTGACACAACTCTAGATGTAGTTGCTTCAAAAACTTTACGTGAGTCAGCTTCGGGTTGTTTGCCTTAGTCTGTCTGGCGTTGTAGACAATGAAGGCATTGATAATGGCAAGATCAACGAGTCCGAGAAATAGAGACTTATAGTATTTCTTGTACTTGATACATAGCTGCAGCGAGTATCTACAACATGTATCATACACGATTAGATATATCCATAACTTGGATGTACAATATTGATGCACTTTACCCGCAGACGCAGCTGGTCGTGCACGTCGACACCTCCCATGTACGTCTGGTAATCCTTCACAATACGGGGGCAGGCCACTTCTTGTTGTTCGCCCGTCAGCTTCTCACGGCGTACTATCCGGTCAATCGCAGCACTTCCACCTGTGCTTAGCATGTGCACCGATCGTGTATCCCACCAACGCACAACTTTCATGTCAGGAGCTGCAGCTCAAATTGCCTTGTCTGTGGGCCCTGAAGCTCCTTTGTACAGGTTGGGATAGTCATCATACATAGCGGTAGCAGGGCGAGGCTCATACGGTTGCTGCAAGTATTCGTATGGTGTTGTGGTCGCTACGTCGGACCATCCTGTGTCCGCCATCGTCTTCAGAAATGTGTCTGACATGGAACCCGATGCGATATTCGCCATACCACCGACAGCAGATACCAAATCACCGTCAAAACGTAGCTGGGGAGGACCGGGTAATTGAATATCAGCCCCGGAAATATCCTTAAGATGATCCTCACTCTCATCATCTCCATCGTCGTTTTCAGCATCAGAATCGAAGGTCACAAACACCCGGGGGTCGTCGGAAGCTTCGACGAGATTAGCGTCTGCAAGAACACCTAGCATTGAATATACAAGTTATATAAATTTTCAAACGTGTATGTACAGCTTTGACCAACCTCCAGTAGAAACATCACAAATTCCTGAGCCTCCGTTTGACTCCTCATCCGCGCTTACTGCAGGTGTGAGATCATCACCTTCTGAGTCCTGGGCATCTTCTGCTGCGTCATGCGATGGCTCACTGCCGCTGTCTATATCGTCAAACTCCGATGCAAGGTTACGTTGCCTTTCAGGTGACTGATCTACAACAGTATACACAGTTAGGCCAGCAGAACCAAAGGCAAGCAGCAACATGACGTGCACGAACCAGCTGTGGCATCAGAAATGGTCATGTGTGGCGATGCCAGAACTACTGCAGACGCTTTTTGTGGTGCCTGCACCTCTGGTGGCGGTGTTCGCAGTACTGCTGTTGTACATGATAATACCAACATACACGATTAGTTAATCTCAAAACTTGTCCAATACATGATAGTTACCGTCGTTTGTGGTCGTCATGGCTTCTGCTGCGCGCTTCTCTGCAGCTCTCTGTGCATTCGCAGACCCTTCTCGCCTCGCTGTCTTCTTTGCCTCTAGTGCAGCTAATCTCACATCAGCGTTAGAATAAATCAAAAATGTACACCACTAGCATTTGCCTACCAATGTCCAATTTGTCCAGGTACGTCATTAACTCCTCCTCTCCGACGAAATAGTCCTCGCCCCGGATATCCTTCTTCGTCTTGCTCGGCTTCAGATAAGTGAAGTCCACCGACAGACCTGCCGGTTTCTTCGAGTGCCAGCCAGCTTTCTTGAGCTCCCGCCACCTCGCCTGGAACGCCATTACCGGCGACGGCGTGAGTTCTGCGTGCTTCGCGGCGAATCTTCAAATGAGAGAAAATTGAGTGGCGACCAGTCTTTTCCTTTCGTAATACATATGCAATTTGCAAGTTTGATCTGTTGTGTACTTTCTTTTGAAAATTTGGCCTTTCTGAAGCGCATATTTATGTTGATTCTGCAGGAAGTGTGAATAATTACCTACCCCTTGTTGACATGAAGTTTGTATGTGCGGATACAAAAACTAAGTACAATATTTTCTAACTTGTACGGTCCACGTTAAGTTTTTTCACGTAACATGTACGGTCCAGGCCACGGGTCCCAAGGGGTTAACAGTCCACCCGCCATAGTACTGTAATTAGTATTTGTAATATACGCTGAGCTACAGCATGCTGACATTCTGAGATAATGATTTTTTCGCAGGCGAGTTGATACAAACCGCACAACAAACTATTAAGGGGATAAAGGTTAAAAAAAACTATTTTAATACAGATAAATACCGTGGAGGAAACATCGATGGGAACACTAACCCGTCTGGTGGTCCGCATGGGACATTTGGTCCGAACTCGGTCTTGGTCGGCGCATTACTTGATCGGATGAGTGGGATCACCATCTCATCGGGCAGCTTGACCGCCGAGTTGTACAGATCCAGACGATCCCAGCTGGTATCATGAAGTCGGTGCCTAGAATCAAATCGACTCCAGCATGATGAGGCATTATCCATACTTCAAACTCGTATGCCACTTCTAAGCCGAGTGTCACCTTCACCACTGCTCTTGACGTTGTCACCATTCTGTCTTTACTTATTCCTTGTATGTCGATTCGCTTATCTCGGCTGGCCACTCTCTTGAGACGCTGTTTCCTCGCGAAGTACTCACTAATCGCCGAGACATTTGCTCCGGTATCCAATAATATTTTGGTCCTTCGGTCGTTCACTGCACCCAATACTAGGGCGCTCATTCTAACTCGGCGATCAAACGTCTGTGCTGACCACCATCCCAGCCGTTCTCCCGGAAGCAGCTTCATAATTCTGGTACGATGCACAGCCTGGTCTGACTGCCGAGTTACACTTGCATCGCTCGGTGGTTATCATCTAACTCACCGAGCTCACGTTCAATTCCGTCGATTTCACACATCCAATTGCCATCCCCGCTACTTCCCTCGGGCCGTCCTGCTTCGCCTACGAAGGCAAACAAGAAGTTTGCCTCAACTGCAGGTTCAGCTGACTGTGGCAGCCCGGCATATTCCAACCCAGTCAGTGTTGGCGGGCCGCCGAGTTTAAATCACTCGGCGCGTAAAGGTTTTGCAGGTCTTCTGGCACTTGCGACTTGTCGACAGAGTTTTTTACGAACGCAGCCAGCTTCTCATATTGACGAAACAGCTCGCACTGGCCGCCTTCATGGACTTGTCTGCAGAATTTGCAGCGTCGTCGACAGTAGTGAGCCGAGTGCCCAATTCTTCCACAAGCTGCACAAGGTCCACGTTGAGTGTTGTCGCGTGATCCATCTCCACGGTTCGACTGTTCTCGTTGGTTGTACGGTCGCGGAGGTCGGTTCGCTGAGTTTCCCCAACTTCGATTTGAGCCATTCTGGTCTCCCGCCGAGTTCTCTCGGCGGTCCGGTGTATTTCCTTTATCATTGGAAACGCCGGCGTCTATGTAGTCGTCGTCTTCCGCTGAGTCGTGTCCTCCGGACTGGTCCTCATCATCCCATTCGTCTTCGGAGTTGTACGGACTCGGCGGGTTCTGATCGATGAGTTCCTCCCCGTCGGAGTCAGCGTCAACGACAGTGACTCGGCGGTCGCGGTTTTCTTCCTTGCGACTGCGCTTCTCATCTCGACGTCCATCTCGGCGTTCATCTCGGCGGCTCTGATCCTTCCGCTTGTCATCTCGGCCTCGTGCGATCACGAGTCGGTCGCGTTGCTTCTTGCGCTTCTCGCCGAGGATCCGACGATTGATTATCTGTTCCACCTTACCGATGTCTTCCAGCT